TTGTCTGCGTGCATGTCCCATTTTAGACCCAATGTCCTCTCAACCGGAAGTCTTTCCTTGTCCATGTCGAGATCGAGTACCTTCGCCGATCTTTCACCTTCAGGGATGGATCCTATCACGTCTGGGTCATTACTTAGCCACTTGGTCAGTCTAAAGCCTCCCATCGATAGCATGTCTGTAAGTTCTTTTACTAAACTTATAGCTTCCTCGCTTGTCTTGACCGACTTCAAACAATCATCTACGTAGAAATTGTTCTTAACGGTACTTACAGCTTCATCAGAGAATAAATGACTATGGTCATGAGCAGTTCTTTGCAGCGCATAACTAGAGCAGCTCGGTGACGACSTTGCGCCAAATAGATGTACTTCCATGCGGTAGTCGACAAGATCTTTGCTGAGGTCATCATAATTGTAGATCAAGAATTTTCATCACGTGTTAAATCCCTCCAAAGTACGTAAACGTATCTGAATTCTTGTTATTATCATTTATGAAATGTACTGGAAATTGTGTAAACAATTGTGTTATGTATTGCATTGAGTTCAAGTTGTATCAGTTAATTTAATGTATTTTATGAAGTGATGTGCAATTGTAAATGAATCATGTTAAAAAAATATACTTAAGCAATATGTTTTCATCACCAAGCGTGAATTATGAGATTCTTTCAGCAAAGTTTCCATCTTGATTCTCCTGTATCGAAAAAAACAATGTTGATTTAGTTGAAATACAGACTTCACTTGCAATTTAGTCTGTTGTCCAAATGCCCAAAGAAATGTATGCTAATTGAGCCAATTAGAGTCACAAATTAAAAACTTCCTTTTTCTTGAAATTATGAAATTTATTTTGTAATTCTGTCAGGATCTTTTCGATCATTTCGTTTTTACAAATTTATATTCAGTCTCCAAAGAATTACTAGTTCAACTCCATCACAAGAAATAGAGAACAAGTTCAAAGAGGAATTGGAGGGTAGAAAAAATAGATGCTGTACAGCCGACTCAAATCCAAACGACACAGCATGGACCTAAGAATGATCAAATGATCTCTAAGCTGGAAACCATGCAAATGTTGCTGCTGCGACGCTGAATTGAGGGGTTGTAACTTAAAAAGGSTCTTAAGGACATCTATGCCTTGAGTTGAATGCTATGTCAGAGATTATTATTGCATTACTAACTATTCATATGAAAATATTCTGCAACTGTAGCTCACCTTTCTTGCTGGTTTTATTGCTATAATTACAACAGGAACAGATTCCTTTCAACCACGCAAGGATTAACAATTTCACTGT